AAWKATACAAATACAATTATGACYATCGATAYGTCAGAAACTTTAGCATKTTGCAYTGACTCCAAATTCTTCTTYTCTYTYCAGACTGCTTTAAAGCGAAAAGCCTGYCTTACACAGCTAACATCAATGAGATCACCTCTCTTGTACATTATAAATAACGACMAAACACTTTYCAGCGTCATATTGTGTAAACCCAGTGGACTCAGCCTTTTGAGGAGCCTCGAGCACAGCACCAATTACTATGTAAGTAAGCAATTGAATAACTCAATTTCGTTATAACATTCAATGAAAGTGTCATTTCATATAAGTACATACTTACATCGCGGTACTCATAGTCGTACATCTGGAAGACGGGAGACGGTAGCCACAAAAATTCTCATTGGGTTCTTCTTTTTYCAACAGAAAAACCTTCTGAATAACCCTGCAGTGACAGCCATGTCCCTGAACATGACAAAGCTTGCAATACTTGCCAAACCTCAAGSAAAGACTTTGCCACTCACAAATGTAGGTATATTCACGGCGTAACAAAGACATTTTCTTTATATTTTTCATCAGACGATATCCATAGCTATATGATAACTATAACATGCGCATTGATTGTTGAAATGTAAAAAAAAAAAAACGTGTTTCTTTCTTTCAAGCGGAGTTTTGCTATTTTTATTATGAAAACATTAGAAGATACTCAGAATAAAGAANACTTTAGCATGTTGCATTGACTCCAAATTCTTCTTTTCTTTTCAGACTGCTTTAAAGCGAAAAGCCTGCCTTACACAGCTAACATCAATGAGATCACCTCTCTTGTACATTATAAATAACGACCAAACACTTTTCAGCGTCATATTGTGTAAACCCAGTGGACTCAGCCTTTTGAGGAGCCTCGAGCACAGCACCAATTACTATGTAAGTAAGCAATTGAATAACTCAATTTCGTTATGGCATTCAATGAAAGTGTCATTTCATATAAGTACATACTTACATCGCGGTACTCATAGTCGTACATCTGGAAGACGGGAGACGGTAGCCACAAAAATTCTCATTGGGTTCTTCTTTTTCCAACAGAAAAACCTTCTGAATAACCCTGCAGTGACAGCCATGTCCCTGAACATGACAAAGCTTGCAATACTTGCCAAACCTCAAGCAAAGACTTTGCCACTCACAAATGTAGGTATATTCACGGCGTAACAAAGACATTTTCTTTATATTTTTCATCAGACGATATCCATAGCTATATGATAACTATAACATGCGCATTGATTGTTGAAATGTAAAAAAAAAAAAACGTGTTTCTTTCTTTCAAGCGGAGTTTTGCTATTTTTATTATGAAAACATTAGAAGATACTCAGAATAAAGAATAACACATTTATATTACGCCGTCRGTTTCGAAGTCATCTTGACTTCATTTTCAAGCATATAGACTGTACTTATATCGTAAAACAACAATTGAAAGAAAAACAATATGTCAAATAGGTGTAGTCAACAATTTGACACAAACACTTGGGCGCCATCGAGTCTTGAATTGTACGTTCAAACTTGGTTCTTTGTTTCGAATATAAAGCATCTCGTAGATTAGGCRATCAAATTTGTTCTTGCAGCGTTTGAGTATCGTGAACGATTTAAAGTCGTAATAAAAATGTGTTATTCTTTATTCTGAGTATCACAAAATCTTTACTAAATTTAGAAGATACTTTCCGTGTTTTCATTCTCTGTTAGATACACTTGTTGTTGTTGGAAGAACATTAGAAAATGTTTTGAAACACGTCGCTTTCAGCTCGTGATTACGAAAAACCTTTATCGCATTTTCGCCCAATATAATAATCCCGCGTAGTTTGCAACGGATATGTGGTTTGCGACAAATATTTTAATAGTTTAACAACATTGATGACTATCGGAAAATGCAAGACAGTCTGATAAAAACAGGAAGTCCAACTAAAACAAACATCTAACTATTCTCTTCATTTTCTAGGGTAAAAAAGGAGTTACACCAGAAGTAATGCGTAATTACAAAATCCTCGACACATTTCGTTACATGACCAAGAACCTCCAAAATCATTGCCGATAAGGAATTACATCGCTCTAGCCCTTCCAAAGGGATTATAAGAAAGTAATTTGCACGAGATAATAAAACATAACATAGCTTTTATAATATTTTTTTAATTAAGCTA